AAGGTCAAAATTCAGGGTGTCTTTACTCCACAATATTGCTTAAACATATTTTGTGTAACTAATATATCCAGGCAATATTACTTTCAGTAATTAAAAAGACATATTTCTGGCTTCTTGGAAATCAGAACAGCAAACAATGGCAGGTGTTGAATTTAGGCTGTTTGTACTCCATACAGGATGAAGAAGATTGGAAAAATTCATACCACTGCTCATGGGAGAAAAATGCTTAAGTGTGTCAGACATAATTCTTTTCCTAGAATCAACAGCTCTTTACTAAGTCCAAGCTCGCTGACAGCTACAGACACTTACCGTGATGAAGAGAACAGATTCCATAGCTTTCTTTACATTTTTGCTCTCCAGACTCTTATTCTAAGCTTCGAAAGAGGGAATATGTTTCTAGTCAAAATCACATCATTGAAAAATGCATGTTATCACATGGATAGCATTTTGTGAGATCATTTGTATAAAAAGACAAAGATTCTAGTTCTAGTTGCATTTTAAAAGCTTCTGAAAATGGAAAGTAAGAAAGATTGGAGAGCGTGTACTTGCACACGAAAAGAATAAAAGACCTTTCAGTAATCCAGATGAAAGAGTAATGAGTATATTCAGTAGCTTTCAAAGACAGGATTCTGATGAGATTTAACTGGACAGCTAAAGGACATCTCATGAAGTTAAAAGTTGACAAATGCAAAGCAATGCAGATGTGATGGTAAGAAACCTAAGTTATTTTTCCTAAATTAAGCATATGAAAGCTTCGTATAGGAAACTTAAAAGCACTGCAACATCCTGGGCAGCTCATTCTATCAGCTGAATGAGCAGAAATTGTAAAAAAAAGACAGAACATTGAGAAACAAAATGCGACTTATTGTTTGACGAATATAAGTCTGAAAGTATTAAAATTACATTACAGAAATTAATATGGCAGCTTCATGTAGAGTCTTTAGCTATGTTATTTGTGAAATGATATCACAGGATTAGAAGAGGACCAAAAAATTCAGAGTGAAGGATTAGAAGCTAAGAACTTTGCAGTCAGGACTGACTAGCTCAGCTATAGATACCAGCGTCGCAGACCATCTAAGCTTATGTACAAGGAAAACAATGGTCAATGTAATACCATTGTATTGTCAATATACAATGTATATTGTATATACAATACCATATGTATTGTCAATATATGTGTATATACTTGTCAATTCTTTAATCTCTTCTAGTATCATAAGAGTTTAATAATTTGGATGGACAGGAAGAAACATAAACTCTGATCTTAACTCAGAGCAAGTGGTGGTCAGATCTCAGCAGTGGTAATGCCACCAGTTCAGATCATAAGCTGAAACAGGGTGTCTATAGCTAATCAACACCCATCTGTGAAAATCTGTTGAGATGTCAGCCAACAGGCCAACTGTTTACACATTGCAGTATATTTTATGGACTAAGACATTTAGAGGCGAGCTGCTGTCCCCTATAAGATACAGAGCCTTTCAAAATCGTATCTATAGCTGTTTTAAATAAGAATTATCTTTGATATTATAGACAAAGCTGCATAGAGTAAGTTTGTAGGTAAAGTTCCAGGAAGTAAGGGTTGGACCTAACTGAATTGCTTAGTGAAAAATGGATTCTACAGAAAGACATGAGATTATTTTACTTTATGTGCTAGTGTGTCACGCTGAATGGATTTTGGCTTTGAATGTACCAAGTAGTCAAGACAACTACTACCAGTAATAGACTTAGCACTATTAAGAACAGTATAGCTTAAATAAAGTAAAACAGACACAGTTCTGGTCCAATAAGCACAAGAAACAAAGATGTGCAACTATATGGATGCTTACCACACGATAGTTTAGAGTCTGTTTACAACTGGCAGTCCTAGCATGGAGCTATGGCTCCTCCAGTAAGTCCTCATTTAGACAAACGGCTGTGCTAGGGTTTATTCCAATTATAAAAACCACAGACAACACACACTAATGATCAGGCTTTTTTATGGATTTAGATATCTTCCACAAAGTTGCGAAAGAATATGTACATGCAAGTGTGCTAGAACACATGAGCATATGCAGCACTGAAGTTATGCACTGATACAGATGCTATGTCAAATTTGGAAACAGATTCCATAAAAGTGCACTATATAAAACAGCAAAAAGCTGGTAAAAGTATGCATAGAAAAATACAAAAGGGCTTTCATATTCCATCATCATGTACGTTAATCTAACTTGAAGTACTGCTCAAAAAGTATAGTATGTTTGTAAATACTAAATGTTAAATTTCATCTACTAAGTAATGATGTGGTTGTCTGTCCTTTCGGGAAATGATGAACACAGAATTTCAGGGTGTGAGCACAGTTGTCCTTCGATGCTGTACAAAGCTTTCTGAGAATACTGGCTCGTACATCTGCAGACTGCCACACTAGGATGCTGGAAAGGAGTTTACTAGTGGTTGCATAAAGTCTGCCCTTAAATCCCGATTACACCTAGAAAATGCATGTTGATTAGACTCACAAGATAACACTTTCACTGCCTTTCCTTCTTCTGTCAGCTAGAATAAAGTGAGTTACTTATTTCATAGCCTTTTTGAATCATATATGCTTTTTTCTAGCCATCTACTTCATTTCCTGAAACACTTGGAGTTCTTCATTACAAAATTCCATGGGTCCTGTGGCTTCACCCTGTCAGGCTCCAGTGACATAAAAACATTGCTCTATAAAAACATGCATTATTACTGTCAACAAAATTCTGGTTTGGCATGTATGCTGATCCTAGTTACTTTTAACAGCAAAACCTCCAAAGAGAAAAGGATTGATATGACGAAAAATGAAGGTCAGAGAGAGTTTAAATACAGCAGAATAGGAGAGACACTTAAAATACAGCATTTATAAAAGAGATACTGTAGTTTAGCAGCATGAAGTATTTCTTATTGACTAATTATTGAATAATTCAGAACCCTAACCTAAGTCCTAATTAGCCATAGCAACAGACTTACTTTCCACAAAACTATAAAGTAAGATCTAATTAATGACCATTTCCAGTGGCAAAAGATGAAGTTCTCTAATGTATATCTGAAAAAAGACACTAGAATAGAAACAAAATGAAAGGGGAGCTTTGAAAGAAAAAAGCATTTCAAAGGTTAGGTTCCTGCGGGCATTTCAGTGCCTAGGGCATACTGCTCTGGTTAGCCCTTGGAACTCGTCATTGCAAGAGTGAGATGACTATTTCTCTTTAGGAGAAATCTCTTCTATGCCAGTAAATATAGAATGAAAGCGGTACATTTTCTAAACTGAGGTATGCATACATTTGGACTGAGAAAGCAGCACACCAGAACCCATGTATTATTTTTTTAAATCAAAAAGGAACAAACTGAGCCTGGGCAATTCTTTGAAACTGAGTTGAGAAACTCCTCCAGCAGCTGATTACCCAGTACTGTGCTATAACATGTTTTTCACAGTTCAGTACATCACATTATTTCACAACTAGAACGTGAGGGGATACAAGAGCTATTTACAGAATTTAGAAAATTTGATAACACAGAGCAGAAGGTCACTAAATCATAGGTAAATGGAGAAAGGTTTCTTAATGGGAGTTATAGTGCGCTCAGTAAAACTGCTTCCACTCTCCTCCCCCTCTCCCCAGCCACATTATCTACAATACTCACTTGATTCAAATTACAAATCCAACAGTAATACAACAAATAAACCCTAGCTAATAAGCCGTAAGATTTCAATTGAATGCTTCCATGAAACATACATATATAATCTACCTTTAAATTAAATAGCACCTGACTCATGCATTTTATTGTTCTAAATATTGCAGTCACACCAGCAGAGTATTTTTATAATAATGCTAAAACTGTTTTATTAACTTGTGTTCTGTGCATGTTTTAAGTGATTAGTAGTACTGATCAAGGATGCAGAAGGACAGATGTTTAATTGGCAGTAACAACACAAGAGTGAATTCTCAGTTGTCAAGTTTCAGGCAGAAGTTCAAGAAAAATACATGCCCATAGCTAAAGCTGAGTCTTATTACTGAGCTTTAAATGCCTATTTAAGACCTCCTTGATTAGTGAAGTATTGAAGCTTATTTATTCTTGCCTCAGAACCTTAGTTTACTTCTGATTTAGGTACACAGGAATGCAAAGACAGATCTTTATAAGAAGAAGGTAGTCTCTATTCAAAATCTGCAAGTCATGAGGATGATTTACATTTGAGAGAGTCAAGGTATTGTGTGTGAACTCAGCTGAAACCAAGATGTGAGTTCCTCCCTGCAATATTTCTCAGCAACAACACACCACCATAATCATGCCAAACTAGTCTGCTTGCAAGTATGCTTTTCCTTTAAAGAGACATTTGCCTTATAATTTCCAGCAACCCAATAAACTTTTTAAGAATTTCATTTCAGGGACAGAACTATAGATATTACTGCAATCTTCTTCCTGTATTTGCTTCTTCACATTCACATCGACACAATCTTTCTACCTTCCTTAGCATCTGTTTGAGTATTTGCATATTTTGTCATACAATACAATCAAAATAAAGTCCCTACATCCCTATTATTATCCATTTCCAGTATCTTCATTTCCAGTATTTGAGACACAAACCTGGTGAAACCAGAAGCTGTACAGTGTCAGTGAAATTCTGTGAATCCTTATTTAGAAAGCTACCACCTCCTAAGAACATAATCTTCTGCTGGTTATCTCTTTCTCTGCACAGAGCTCAGCAGTCTTGCATTCAGTCATCTTCACTTCTATAAAGTGGGGTTCCTTCTCTCAAAAAAGGCTGCTATGGCTGTATGCCCTTTTGACATTGACATAGTAACTATACAACGTATAATGCAGTGGGGCCGCTGGGACACAGTTTTCTTCTAACTCTCTGAAAAAAACTAACATAAAAGTCTCTGGAAAAGTTTAAGGAGTTTTAGAATACAGTATTTATTTGGAAAGCAGCTGAAAACTATGTAATTTCTCATTAGTTCTTTCTTCTGCTGCTTATTGAGAGTCTTTTCTTTTTAACTTACCAGGCATTATAATATTGGAAAAACCTAGTTTCCTTGTTATGGATACTCCATGGGTAAACATGGATGTATACTCTCTCCTAATTTGTTCTATGTCTCCATGAAGTAACTGAAGAGAAACTGCCAGACCTGAAAATGAAGAGAAAAACAAGGAAAAATAAGATTTGCAAACAGATTATGGTCATCACTACTTCTAAAACATTATATATACTTGCAAGTATATATGCATTCCTGAGAACTCAGAAAATTCAGAGGAAGGTCAGTAATACCAAGCCAACCCACCTCAAATTTTTTATGTATTTTGGAAGGGTACCAACATCCAGAAATCAATAAACACTTGAAAGCAACTACCCATGAAAAAGCATTAGCAAATTATTACTGATGTGTAACTGAACTACGATGACCTGTCAGATCAAAATTATCTAAGTAGGGATGGACTGAGGCCTTAACTGGAAAAAGAATTTGAAAAACATCAATTTAGCAAAATATCAATCAGTAATATTTGCTACCATTTCAATTTTTCACTGTCTTCAACACAAAGCTGCTTTCATTGGTATGCAAGAAAAGGTGCAAACATAATGGTCCCTATCTATGGGAGAAACGTGGAAGTCTCATTACAATGCATCACTTAACCTGATCCAACATTATACAACTTATTAATCCAAAATCTGAAGAAACAAACTCTAATAAACCAATATAGCATAATCAATATTTTTTACTTAGGCACAGTAATTTCATAATGACTGAAATGACAACTTTTTTTTAATATTCATCAGATTTAATCAATCCTGCTTTTTCCTGTGTTTGCTAGAAGACATGCAAAATGCAGGGGTAGCCATATAATAATTTTCCAATATTTATTCCTCTAGAACCAAGGAAGAATAACTTCATCTACTATATCTGCAGTATACAAATAAATTGCAAACAGTATACTTCATTACAGCTGAGATTAACAAAAACAACAGGTATGTCTTTTTGTTATTTCAAATATAATCACTGAGGCAAGTGTCAGGATGATACAGCTTGTCAAGATTAATCTTCCCTGACCTTCAACATTACTACAGCATATCACGTGTCAACATACAGATCAAGGAGAAGATAAGAGCAAACTCTTCATATACACTGAACAACTGGAGATAAACAGACAGCTCAGAAGAGTCATCATTAACTTTAGATTAAGCTTAAGTAAGTAACATGTACACACAGACTGAACAACAAGGACATCGGTCCTTTGGGCTTTGGAAGAAATTTTCCCCCCAGCCATGCTACTATTTAACTGAATAAATTTACTTGAAGTTTGATGGTTCTTAAATCAGAGCTTGAAAAGTCTGTACTAAGTACTGCCAGTCCAGGGAGCTAAAAAAGTCTTTTCAAACTCCTGCCAGTCCAGGCTACTGCACTAAAGAGATCAGAGATCTAATTAGCATGACAACTTTTATCTTTTTCCTCTTACCTACATTTACATTTTATTATTTTGGCAACTCCAGAGAATGTGATACCCTGACCAGACTTCCATTCTCTTATGAAAAACAGCTCACCTACACATCTCCAACTGAGTACATAAACAAATTTTGCAAGGAAAAACATTCAGTGACGTCTATTCTATTTTAAGGACTGTATTTAATGCCATGGACATTAACTATTTTGGTAATGGGATTTTGTTCTGTGGTTATCCAGTTAACAACTTTCAGGAAGTAGTGACAATTATTGTTGGTGTAGATGAGAAAACAAACCACACTGTGGCCAGCTGATGGTACAGGAGGTTGGTAAGAAGTCATAGAGGCAAAATTCAGACTCTGTTAGAGCAGGTGAAAAGTTTTTCATTGCTGGATGGGAAGAGCTAGGCTGGGTATAGCTCACTTACAAATATGGATATTTAGCCCACCTCCAATCTTGTTTCTTTTATATTTTAAGAAATTGTTATACATACATATGTATATTCATACCCCCATATGCCCCTATTGCACTGTTTCCTTGGAAACCTAAAAAAACATTTGCCATTGCTCCAGATCACATCAACCACAACAGCGTTAATCAGATACTGTACACCGCCTGGTGTTGAGTGAAGTTATTGTGTTTTCTAAACAAAAAGTTGAAGACCTCAAATCCAATTAGTACTACAGTTTTCTTTGTGTACAAATTTCACAGATTTCTTTGAAGAATTTTATTTAGCTCAAAAATGAGATAAATGTCAAAAAAACTCATCAATGGCAAAATAGTTTTAACTTGAGAAATAAGCTGCTTGTCAAGGATTTGAAGTACTTGCTCATGCAAGGCGAGAAAGGTATTAGAGTTCTGTATTTCACAGCTTGCTTTGTTAGAAAATGAAGAGTCATCTTTTTATAAACAAAAGCATCAAGAAAATCTCTCTGTGAACACAAAACACGATTTAGTCATTTTACCTATAGTTTAAATATATCTTTGGAATATAAATGGTATGCCTCCCCCAACTCTTCAGAATAATGAAGAACATTGTATTAAAGATAGCAAAGTTACTTAAAAATGTTATACGGTGTAAACAGTCCAGTACAATAGGAAAGAGTGAAACTAAACCAGAATGGAAACAGAGCAAAGATGCACAGGGAAGGAAGTCTGAAGAACTTGGTCCGAAAACCAAGGGTTCAAGTTAACAATCTTGCCACTGAGGATCCAGCTGCCAAATGGAAAGGGAATTGACAAGAAGGGAGACAGAAGATCTGATAAATCTGGTAAAAATGCTAAAGTTAGGAGCATAAGGACTTTATATAATCAATGGAAAGAAGGCGATCCCCAGTTACGTGTTCTGATTGCTCTCTCAAAGCTCCACTAATTTTGCAAGGAAACTAGGCCCCCCTGCATTAAGGACCTAAAACCAGAAGATACATACTGTTACTGAGGTGTGACACCCAAGTTACAGAATAGGTTGCCTGAATTCCCACTGGTTTGTTATATTCAGGATCTTGTGATGGGCAAAAGGAACACACTGTATATGAAAAGCCAGGAAATTATTTTTAGTCCTAATAAAAGTTATAACAGTCTAATCAGAGTTATTACTAGTCCATTCACAATGATACTAACACACTCCAAACAAAATACTGTTAAAATGACATATACACACACACAATCTTTCCAGTATCTACCCCTTGCTTACCCTTCCACTGCCCCTCTGCGGTCTTAAGGTCAACAGTTTCAACCTGGGAAGGTGGTGTATGGTGACCAAGTTATCAGCGTCCCAAGTCCTTTGCCATGAGGAGTAGGATGTTGCCTGTTTCTTCCTCCTCTCTCTCTAGGCTCTTCTTGGAGTAATTTTTATGTTTGTTAATGTGCTTTACACCTTGTTATTTCTTCACTGGTCTGCAAGTCCGCATTACATCTTCATTCATCGTATATGATGTGTTTCATATATGCCACATATCTATTGTTTGTTCTCTTTGTTTTCCCTAAAACTGGTTTTATTCTGCTCTCAAGGTCACACTATCTGATGGCCAGTAACTGGCCACTGGTGAGCTGTTCATAGGTCTGGGGCCCCTAGTATCACCCCATGCCAGTACTTTCAAGGCCCCAGTTATGGTCACATGTCTTTACTCTTCTATGTTCCATTTTAGTCTAGGGTTATAGATACCTAACCCTACAGAGAGTAACTACATGTTATAACTCTCTATTAAATACAAAACATATATACCAAAGTGGATTATACCACATAATCATACAAAGCTAAGCAAGAGCTAAAATAAAGTAGATATAATTTATTATTTTGTCATTAGATAAATGCTTTTACAAGTCAGAACAAATCTCCAGGCAGGCTAAGACGAGTCCAGCCAGCCAAAGCCAGATAGGTAATGAGGACTGTGTTGTCAGCTAAACGCAAAGCCTGTGGCCAGTTACAAGGCACAGCAATCCTATATTTATGGGTCTACGAAAATACAATACACTTGCCAAAGAAACTAGATACCCATCATGACTGAGGAACCATGCATCTGAAATAAAAGTCATGGGGTACTTTAAAAAGATGGAATAATTCATATTTTACAAGGGACTGAAGTTTGTATCCTTATTATAAATCAAGTTACCTAACTATCAATTAGTTAACTAACATCATTTAAAACATACTGACATGTCACAGAGCAATTCAGATTTTCAGAAGGTTGCACATTCAACTGAAGTGAAGAGGGAGTCCCTCAGACACGCTGCAAAACAAAGTGGAATGAAGAAGAACTGACATGAAGACACCGCTTTCCTCACCAAAATGTAACCAGAATTTTGCATACCATAATGGCCAGAAAGCCACTGAAATCAATTTACAAGTGATTAAAGCTATCTCTGTGGAGAAGAAAGGAAGGGGTGGAGAGGAAACGTTACTGCTCCTAGAAAGGAAGGTTTAATCACCAGACAGTAATGAGACAGGGTCAAGGTGGAGCAGGCTTCCAAAGAATTGGGTCAGCAGCCAGTCTGGGAGAGATGGAGAAGACACTCAAAGAAAAGGAATGCAATCAAAAGAATGCAGAGATATTCTTTTTGTATATGGAGATAGAAAGTTAATTCATTAACATTTCTCCTATGGAAATGTGAATACCTTTTCTGTCATATAGCAAAGGTAACATCTTTTAGTTTTAATTTATTCCACTCTGATGATGTATATCAACATGAGTTCTTTCTCATCTTATTTCGTGCGCTAGACAATAAAATAATCAGCTTTAGAAAAAATTAGAGCATTCCTGCTGGAACAGCTGTGCACAGACAAAGCAAAATAGAAAACTGCAACATGCCACCATACACTGCATCGAACTGTGGTTGATATGATCATTACACCATCTACGAGACCTAGAATCTGTCCAAAACTTCATAACTATAAATTTTCCATTTCTAGAACATTAGGAGCTAAACCATAACAACAAAAATGATTATCCAGTCTCTGAAGGACTGGCACATTTTCTTTAATTAGGTACATAGTACACTATGCTTTGTCCCCTCAGAAAAAATTTCAATTACCTCCCTAGTGGTAATTAAAACCTGTTGTGTTAGCTAGAATTCTTTATTTACTCCAGTTTTGAAAACATTACTACAAAACTCTGTGTGGTACTGCAAACATCTGCTTTTATGTCTTTTGCAAGCACATGAAATTTCTCACAATTAACTTGTACCATAGTTCA